ATTTCTTCAGGAACTGAGCGTGTCTGCGTATGAATCACGTGCGACATCCTTTTTCTCCTTCTGATATTCTTGTAGGAGTTGGAGATCGAGAAAGTTCGGCCTTAAACAGTTAAGCTTCCTTTTGCCTCTGGCATCACTCCCTCCGTAAACACTGGGCCTGTGGGTATTTTGTTTTAATGTGGAAGGGCAGTACAAAATTTAATTTTAGGTAGAGCACTATTTAAATATCTATTTCCTTATGTCAAATATGTGGAAAATATTTCATGTATTTGGAAGGCAGAATGAAAGAGGGAGCGGGGATGGGGAAGGGAGAGGCCGACACGCGGCCCCACGCGGGCTCCCTCCGGGTGGCCCAAGCTGCCCCTGGGTCTCCATCTGCGCGTGCTGGGCTGCCCCACGGCGCCCCAGGCGCGTTAGCAGGGGGCGACAACAGAGTCCTCTTCTCCTCGTGTGAGCTCTGCTTGGTCTGCAGGGAAACAGCCTCTTCCTTCCTATGTATCCATGTCTTGATGAAGCCCGCTGTAACCTTTCATCTCAGGAATCCACTTTCGGTTATTCGAGACACCTCCACTACGCACCTGCTGCTGACCTTCCTTCCGCCTCTCCCGAGGCGCACGGCCTCCTCCACTTGGGAAGACATTTAACAGTACAGTCCTCCTCGGAAATCGCCTAGTTCAGCTCAAAGCGTCCGATTTCCAGTGCGATGGACTCTTTGTTCTACAGGTTGCTCAGAAGCTCCTACCCGTTCTATGTTCCAGGTGTATTTCACCCTGTTTAGTGATCACGTTAGGCCTTTCAAACGCTTGGGGCTTAGCTGTCAGGCACACCGCATGGCCTATTCGGTCAAGGTCCCTGCCCACTGGAGCCTACGGTCCCTCCACTGCAGCCAGCTAGGGACCATCGGGAGAGCGTCGCCCTCTAGTGTTGAAGCAGCGGCCATGCACGGGTAACCGACTCGCAGCACACCTGGACATCGAGCGCCATCTCGTGCTCATGTTGTGGAAGTGTCCGCAGGTTCAGAGAAAACAAGCAAGTGGATTAGAATTTCTGGAACACACGTGCAAACCAGATTCTGAAGGCTGGAAAAGATCCCGAATCCTCCAGTCCAGATGCCAACAAGCATCAAGAACTTTGGGGTACCATAACATCACCTAACGAACAAAAGACGGTTCCATAAACAAACTGTACAGTAATTGCAAATGCAGATGTCAAAATAGGTGTATTAATCAAACCCAATGATATGCAGGAAAAATAACCCATTACTCTAACAGACAAACCTAACAGAGAGATGGAAGTAATTCTTCAAAGCTAAACAAAAATCCTTGAAAGTCCAGTAAGCAACATTTAAAACACGCAAATGGTATCAACAGCAGAACAGATCAAAGTGGAGCACTAGGGATCTCAAAGTCTAGGAGAAAATACAGAGGATAAAAACAGAAAAAGCAATGCAGAGGAAAGAAGAAAGATTGTGAGAGCTTTGGGGCAGCATTTAAGTAGGAAATACCTGGGTGGTTAGGGTCCGGAAGGGTTTAAGAAGGGCAGAACGGCAGGCAGCGTATTTCAACACATGTGACAAGCTTCCCGGCTACCCAGAGCCAGACGGGTCAGAGGCCCCATTCAGAGTCTCCCCAATGAATCCTTCCCCAGCACAAATGGCGCCCAAGCTCTCTAAAAGTAAAGAGAAAGAGAATGCTGAAACACAATCCCAGGGTGTCCCAGTGGCCCGCCCGCAGACTTCTCAGCACTAAAATCTCCCTGGAGAGAGCGGGATGAGGGTTTCTGTAATGCTATGGTGGCGGGGGCAGGAAGGGTCTGCTATCCAAATACACACAGCAGAGTGAAATGATCCTTCAGCCACTTCCAGACAAAGGATTTATCACCAGCCACCTCGTGCTTGACAGAAGTCTTCAAACTGAGAAAGATGCTGGCAAGTGCCAGGGGGGTGTCAGAAGGTAGAACCCCGCTGGTGAGGCTCCCGGGCCTCACACACCTGTCAGCCCACACACCTGCAGCCAAGAGCAGGTGCCGAGAACCTCCGCTGTCTGTACAGATGCAGCTCTGACTGGACGGATCTAAGTGTAAGACTGGTACTCCAGAAGCCTTAGAAAAGGAAAATGGGAAATGCTTCAGGACCCTGGGATGGACAAGGACTCTGTGGATGAGGCCACAAAAGTGCAGGGAACAGAAGCCATAAAGGACTTTGTTGAATGGAAAAGCACAGGCACGCATGGCCCAACAGACATTGTACAACAGAAGCGATGCAAGCGGGGTGACAAATACGCTCAGCAGGACCAACCACCGGGCCATCACCTCAGTCCAGTGAGAATGGCTATTGCCAGGAAGACCAAGGGCTGTGAGCAAGGGCAAGGATGTAGAGAAGGGGGAACCCTCCACCCTGCTGGGGGGAGACGGGACCCTGAGCAAACTACAAACAGAACCCTCCCTGCTGGCAGCTTCCCCTACAGGAAGGAGCCCAGCCTGGTCAGGGGCCTCTGTCTGCCCGTGTTTCTGCCGGTCAGGCGAGGGCAGCCATGTGGGTGCCCACCACTGACAGCACAGGTGCAAGAGGTAGCACTCACCAGCCACTGACAGGACATATCTGGGACCAGATGGAGGTGGCAGGGGAAGGCGGAGCACAGCACGAGGTCAGTTCTACATGGGGTGGTTCTAAGAGCGTTGACCTCATGGAGCTCAGAATGGGCTCCCAGAGGCGGGGGAGGGGAGCGGGGCAGGTCCCCATGCTCTGCAGTAGACTGTGACGTCCCACTGGAAGACTACGGGTGACGTCATAGGTGCCGTATCTCTGCTTCTAAAGGAGGAACACAGTGTTCCCCATGCTCTCACCACGGAGCAGGTGCACGCCTGAGGAGACCAGCATGGTCAGCCCGAGCTGCCCCCGTGTCTGTGGAAGCAGCATGGTCAGCCCGAGCTGCCCCCGTGTCTGTGGAAGCAGCATGGTCAGCCCAAGCTGCACACCTGTGACTGTCAGCTAGGAGGCCCAGTCGGCTCTCTGGTCACTAGGCCAGCTGGCTGGGAGGCCCAGGCTCCAGGACACTGCCCACTACACCTGGAGATGGAGGCAGACAAAGTGGCTGTGACAGGCAATGACTTGGAGGCAGGCTCTGGCTCAGACATGCGTGGTCCTACAGGGGCCTGAGTGCTGGGCTGGTGGGACCAGGCCATCCCTCCTGGGCAGAAGCAGAGGCTCATGCCCGTGACGGCTGGGCCTCCCTGCTAGGGCCCGCTCTTTCCTGTCATCTAGCTTCTGTTTCCCAGCTTCCTTCCACTCTGGGTGGTGGGAGCTCTGTCCCTTGTGGTGTCCCAGGAGCCAGGCAGCGGGGTAAACTCATCTGGCATAGGCCTGTGCCCTTGGAGAGAGAGTCATTTAACTGAACCATCCGAGCCCTTGAGCATGCTACAAAAACTCTACCTACCTCTTAGGATCTGCTTCCTGAAATGTCAATTTTACCTTTGCTGTTCACAGGACAACAAAACCTGGAAGACAGGGAACTCAGCATATATTTCACTTGAAGCCAGAAGACATGTGGAATAGAGACAAGATTGAAAGAAATGGAGGGGGAAAATTATGCTAACTAGAAACACAAAATATAATGTCTTAGACAACCTCCCACCACAATAGAACAGCAACTAACAGTGAGTCCACAGCGCCGCTGCCAGGCAGGCGGAGGCAACTGACTGTCACGCCGTGTCACCTGGATGGTGTATCAGCCACGGGCCTCACAGGAGCAAACACTTCACAGAGAGAATCTGACCGCTTTTCTGTCCTAACAGTTGCTTGAAAAGGCATTTCACTGGGAAAAAAAAACCTTAAAATGCATTTTTGTCTTCTTTTTTAGCATTAAAATTGAAAAACCCATGCTCTCTGCCGTGCCTAGGAGACCTTGCACGAGGTCTCCTCCCAGCTCAGGCCTCTGAGCACGCAGAGCCCTGACCCCAGATGCCGTGACAGCAGCGGGAAGGCCCCAGCCAGGTGCTGCCTTTGCGGACCACTCCCCGGCACGAAGGACTCAAGGGGCCTGGCAAGTGTTCGTATCCCCCACCATGTCTCCGACCCACTGGCCCCTCAGCTGTCGCCTGCCCCCAAGGCTCCCTGACTGCAGCACCTGTGCCCTGGCCTGCACAGGGCCACGTTCCAGGCTTTACCATGTGTGACAGTCCCTGGGTGACAGGGCTCAGGGAGCCCCCTGCTGGCACAGGAGGGCCACAGCAGCAGGCAGGTGGCCCTGTTCGGAAGGACAAAAGGGACCAGCAAAAACCCAGAAGGAAGGGGCCCAGGGGGCCAGGTGCCCAAGGAGGAGGGTCCAGGGCAAGGATCCAGAAGCATCCTTGTGGAGCTAAGAAACGGTACTGTGTGAACAGAAACAGCCTTCTGGGTGTTTGCATTTCCCAACAGCTCGGACTGGCATCATGGCAGTTTTTATAGCACTGCCCCCTGCTCAGGCCAAGGAGAGGCAGGTCTCTGCCCCCCAGACCTGGCAGAGACCTCCATGCAGTGAGGGCAGGGGATAGCCCTCATTAGCTCATCTGATCCTTCCCACCCATGGGTGTCTGCACATGCATCAGCCCCTCCACCACGTGCAGGTAAAACACCTGAGTGTGTCCACGGCCGGGGTCCCATCTCAGCTCTCCTGGTGCAGTCCTGCTACTGTCCCCTTGACCCTTCCAGCTCATTCCGTGCTCTGTGGCCTGGGGCACTGGGTTGAAGTGAACCTACTTAGCACGTATCAGATGGCCCTGGATGGGCAAGGTGATAGCACAAGGGCCCTCGGCAAGCAGAGCTCTGGAAGGTCGCATTCTTGGCTGCACAAGGAGACGCAGTTAGAGCCAAGATGGCCCTGGACAGACCTGTGACGACTTGGACCAGTTGCAGCCCAAACTACAGGGGCCTCTGTGAGCATGTTATATTTAACATTTCTCAACAACAACATTGTGAAACACATCTCCGGCAGGTGGAGGGGGATGGTCAGGATCTGGGGGCTCGGTGGGGGCTCTGGGCCCAGTGGCGGGTCTGCCCCAGGCACCCACAGTCCTTGCAGCACTGTGTCAGCACACACATGGGCTGCGGGCTAGCGGCTGTGCTGGCCGTTCAGAAGCAGGTGCCTGCTGGTCCCAAGGCCATTCTTCAAACAGTCTCTCTCTTTGCTCTTGCCAGCCTCTTCCTCTTTCTCCTCCTCTTCTTCTTCCTCTTCCTCCTCGTCCTCACTCCGCACATCTTGGATTTCCTAGACAAAGGGAACAAGGGCTGTAAATGATGTTCCCCCAGGAGGTCTGGAGAGAACACGTGACATGTGGCCCCAGACCAGAGGCTCCACTTCAAGACAGGCCAGTAGCCAACCAACCTGCTAGGCCATACCATGAGTTAGAAAACAAAGAACTGAAAATAAATAAATAAATAAATAAATAAAACATCAAAAACTCATCAGGCAGACCGACAGAGGCAGAGGGCAGGACCAGAAGAGGGGAGGGGTCAGAGTGGACAGCCAGTGAGGCAAGTGTGGCTACTCCACGCACGTGCAGCTGGCGAGGGGAGCTCCTAGGAACCAGCCGAGGGATGCTGCAGCCAACAGAGGCCCAAGGGGAACTGTCCCTCAGTCCAGCACAGTTCTGCTAACTCCTTTATTTCATTTCGAAGGTTACTACAGGGTCTCAACTTCCAATCATATACCCTAATTGTCTACATAATAAGGAACTCTCATAAATTCAACAAGAAGAAAATAATAATAAAAAATACTCACCTAGGAGCATACAAGAACTTTGGAGGACAGAATGAAAAGAAAAAGAGCGTACAAAATGTAAAATGATTACGTGAAAAGACGTTCAATGTGATAAGTCTTGGGGACAATGCACATTTAAACAGCATAACAGCATGTGATCTGGCTACAAACACAGAGGAGCTAACATGAAAAACACTGGCAATGCCAAGCGCTGACAAGCATGCTGGGAGCTGGGGCCTTCGTGCATTGCCAGTGCAGACGTCACATGGTGTAGACCTGCTGGAAAACACTACGGAAGTTACCTACAGATTCCAGTATCAGTGCACTTGGGAGTCCTCCATTAAGTATCCTCCTCCACAGACATGAACATTTATGTTCACACAAAAACAAGAGTACATAATGAATGTGTTCATAATTGTTAAAAGTTGGAAGCCACCCAAATGTTCTTCAGTCAATAAATAGATGAACCATGTTACAACTTAAAATGAAACATTACTTAATAATATAAAGGAAATATGGACATTTATCAGAAGTTGCATGAACTTGAAGACATTTTGCTAAGTAAACAAGTTTCAAACAATTATCTACTAGCTGGGGCTGGCATTGTGGGGCAGAGTGTTAAGCCATCATCTGCAATGCCAGCATCAGGTATGAGAGCTGGTTCAAGTCCTGGTTGCTCCATTTCTGATCTAGCTCCCCACGAAAAGGCACTGAAAGATGGTCCCTGTGTCCCTGACACCCACTTAGGAGACCCGGATGGAGTTCCTGACTCCTGGCCTAGGCTTGGGTAGAACAATGGATTAGCAAGTAGAACACTTGCTTGTTTAGCAAGTAGAACAATGGATTGAACAGATTTCTCTCTCTCTCTTTTTCCCTCTGCCTTTCAAATATATAATTTTTTTAAAAGATTCATTTTTTATTTTTATTGGAAAGGCGGATATACAGAGAGGAGAGACAGAGAGGAAGATCTTCCGTCCGATGATTCCATCCCCAAGTGAACCGCAACGGCCGATGCTATGCCGATCCGAAGCCAGGAGCCTCTTCCGGGTCTCCCACGCAGGTGTAGGGTCCCAAAGCTTTGGGCCATCCTTGACTGCTTTCCCGGGCCACAAGCAGGGAGATGGATGGGAAGCAGGGCTGCCGGGATTAGAACCGGCACCCATATGGGATCCCGGGCATGCAAGGCGAGGACCTTAACCACTGCGCCACCGCGCCGGGTCCCAAATATATAATTTTTTTTTTAAAAGATTTATTTTTATTATTTTTTTATTGGAAAGGCGGATATACAGAGAGGAGAGACAGAGAGGAAGATCTTCCGTCCGATGATTCACTCCCCAAGTGAGCACAACGGGCCGATACTATACCGATCCAAAGCCAGGAGCCTCTTCCGGGTCTCCCACGCGGGTGCAGGGTCCCAAAGCTTTGGGCCGTCCTCGACTGCTTTCCCGGGCCACAGGCAGGGAGCTGGAAGGGAAGCGGGGCTGCCGGGATTAGAACCGGCGCCCATATGGGATCCCGGGCGTGCAAGGCGAGGACCTTTAACCACTTGCGCCACCGCGCCGGGTCCCAAATATATAATTTTTAAAAAGTAAAATGTTATCTACTATGTGCATGCTAATGTGGAGTGTGTGATACTCTGGAAAGGAAAGAGCAGCAGAGATGGAGAACAGGGAAGCAGAACCAGGAAGTGGCACGTGCGTTTTAAGTCCTGATTATGGTGATGGGCACACACACATGCATGTAAATGTAAAAGCCATAGTTCTGCACACCAACAAGTCTGTTTTGCTGAGGACAATGTTAAAAACAAAACTTAAAAAGATTTTTTTTTTTAGGAAGCTAAACTGGCTGGGGTTAGCCTTGTGATGCAGCAGGCAAAGGCTCCACACGAGCGCTGGCATGGAGCTGTGGCTACTCCGCTCTTGGCCAGCTCCCGCATCTGAGAACACAGCGGAAGATGGCCCAGGTACCTGGGTCATGGCAACCCACAGCACTGGAGAGACTGAATGAGTCTCCTTGTTCCTGCTTTCAGTCTGGCCAAGCCTGGGCTCCTGTGGTCATCTGGAGAGCAAACCAGTGGACAGCAGATCTCTTTCCCTGTCTCTCCTTCTCTGTCTGTAACTCTGTCTTTCAAATAAATTATAGATATTAAAAATAAGAAAGCAAACATGGCATTCCTAGTAACCATATGGTTAAGTTGAGCATGTCCCACCTGGGCACTTGATTGTCACTGTATGTCACTGCTGGTGATGGGCGCAGTGTGTATCCTCCTCAGGCATGGGCACCGTCAAGCATAGTTCCTAACTAGGAGTTGGTGGTTTCTTTTTCTCTCAGGATCCTTTAAAGCAGTTTTGTAGGGCAAGCTCCTAGGACACGTGGCAGTGAAGAGGGAGATGGGATTGTTACAGACCAGTCCTTGCTCTGAACGACAGAAGAAGAATGTGTAAACGAAGACAGAATGTGAAGTATTCCGATACTGGAGGAAGGAGCGCAGGTGCAGTCCTCCCAGCAAGGACCGGTCACAGGTACAGCGATGGACCTGACCTCGGCCTCCCCGCTTGGCCAGCTCAGAAAAGGAAAGGGCAGCAATGCGGGAGGAGGGGAGGCAGCTTCCTCCCACAACGTTCCTCAAAGATGACATTCACAACCATCCTGCTTGCGTTTTCCTTCTGGGACCTGCAGACCAAAGCCGACCAACCCCTGAGAGTCTCGTGGTACCTGTAACCAAACCCCTCATGGTGGAATCTGCACAGACACAGCTTTTGAAGAACTTGGCATGCACACCACCTGCTGGCTCCATCACTGAACTGAAATGTTCTGGGTTTTCCCACAGCACAGGAAGAGTCTCCAAGTCTGCACTCAGACACACTAAGCAATGAACTTGGTGTCTGCAGTGAGCACGCAACAGAGAAAGACACCCTTGCTGCACTGCCACGGGAGTGGGACTCCACAGAGCCCCTCCCACGGACGATGCTTTCAGGAAGGGCCCACCTTGGCTGGCGCTTGCTTTCCTGGCTGCTGTCCTGCCAACTCCTTTTTCTGCTCTCCAAGGGGTTGGTAGGGGGCAAGAGGAAGCTTGAATTAGAACAAAGAACCAAGTTCTTCCAAGCAAGGAGGACTGGCCACAAGCCAGGCATCCTCCAGGGATTGCAGAGTTGTCCTAGGTGGGAAAGCAGCCCCTCTGGAGGCTGCCCCAGGCTCCATGCCCTAGCCCCTGCCTGGCCCCAGGTCCTCCTCCACACCTTCTCTTCTGAGCAGATGCCCTGAACACACGGGGGCTTTGTGGTCCTGCACATTGGGGACCTGTACTCATGTCCACATATCCTGCTGGACACAGCAAAGGTGAGAACCCTGCTCAGAGCTGCCCACGCTGAGGCCCTAATCCACCTGAGGCCCCAACACGGTAACTTCCACATGGCTCTCACATACAGTTGGCCCCCTTGGCCATGCAGCCAGCCAAGCACAGATTGGAAATATCAGCCAACAAGCTGTGTCTCTTCCAGCCAGTGTACACACCTTTTCCTCTGGCTTCCTGAACAGCAACATTTACATTGTATATATCAAGTTGCAGGGATTACAAGCCTGTGGATTCGGCTTCCCTTGTGCAACCCACAGCCACTTGGCCACAGACACCAGAGGGTGATGCGTACACTCAGATTCCAAGACAAGCAGATATGATTCAAGGGAAGATCACATGTCATGTAGTCTAGAACATCACAAGTCATGGTCACACACACACACAGAGTCCAAGCCATGTCCCCTCCTCAGGCTAGCTGGTGCCACACGTGAAATGCTCAGACGCCTTCCATCTTCCACACCTCAAGTGGTAACATATGCCTTATTAGAGTTACAAGCCTGTTTCAACTATCCTAACATTCGCCAAGTTCAGTAAAAATCACACTTCAGGGCCCGGCGCGATGGCGCAAGTGGTTAAGGTCCTCGCCTTGCACGCCTGGGATCCCATATGGGCGCCGGTTCTATCCCGGCAGCCCTACTTCCCTTCCAGCTCCCTGCCTGTGGCCCGGGAAAGCAGTCGAGGACGGCCCAAAGCTTTGGGACCCTGCACCCGCGTGGGAGACCCGGAAGAGGCTCCTGGCTTCGGATCGGCATAGCATCGGCCCGTTGTGCTCACTTGGGGATGGAATCATCGGACGGAAGATCTTCCTCTCTGTCTCTCCTGTCTGTATATCCACTTTTCCAATAAAAACATAATAAAAATAAGTCTTTAAAAAAATCACACTTAAATACTATAAGCTGCTAAATATAAAAATGAAAATAGACACGAGACATCTGAATAGTACCCTTATAGCCATTTTAAGGTGTATAGCAGCCAGTTATGTATAAACTAAAATTGAAATGTCAATGAAGTAGTCACAGGATGTGGTTAAGAACTTGCATTTTCTAACATATTGGTTGCTCAATACCATGTCAATTAACTCCATGATGTTATAAATTGTTATTGATGTGTTGTGGCTTTACACTGGAGGAGATGATATTCTGCCAGCTATACT